ACAGTTGTCTTGTTAGGTACCACCAAAGTTCATGCTCAATAATCCAGGTAGAAATCCAACAATGTTCAGTCATGTCATCTGGATGGTTTCATTTTTTTTTTTTGCTGAGACGTTTTGTCCTTCATCCAAAGGACTTCTTCAGTCTGAGGAGCTACCAAAACAAACTGATTCCCACAAACTGTATACTTCATAGCGGGAAGAAAAAAACTGTTTGCTGGTGATAAGATGGCCTCCATGGCCCGCCCTCACCCCCATCAACTCCTCTGAGACAAATCTCTTATTATGCGTTTCTACAATGGTGGCCAAAAGTCTCTCTTAACGTGATAGTTCAGGGCTGTTGAAGAGAGTTTTGTGGAAAGGTTATGAACAATTCATATCTCTTCTGTTGTAAATGACTCTTTGAACAACCTCAGTTTGGAGAAATAGTGTTTAGGATTGAATTGATGAACTAGAGGCCCGTTTGAGAAGGGCCACAGCTGGATTAAAATAACTACAATCCATAGGCTTTCATAGAGCATTGCACCATCAGCTTTATATTGCATGCTTATCCAAGAAGATATATTATACTTTCCTGCCAGAAGTGCCTCACAAAATGTGCAACAGCTAGCAGCTGCTTCTATCTGCTTATGCAAAATGACCATAAATTCTATATAAATAAACCCTGTTTGGATTAGCTGTTGTTAGTCTATCAGTTTGATCAGAAATAAACCACATTTTAGAAGGTCTGAACTGCTACTTTGGATGCTGAATTAGACTGGGATTGGGTGGCAGCTAAAACGTTACAGCATTAAATGTGACGTAATTTCAATATGGGGACATTTTTTGCATAGGGAGTGGTGGTGCTGAGGATAGAGAAGGTGTGCTTATGATAGGAAGGTAGCCGGTTCAACTCCCCCAAACCGACAACATCAAAATGTGTGTGGGAAAAGTCAAGCATCCACACCTGCCTCCACCCTCATTTGCCCCACTCTGGGCCACCATCCTCAGGCTATCTAGGGCACCCCTGGGTGCCCTAGATAGCAGCTTTCTGCTCCACACAGAGGGCTGTGGTAGCTTGGTGGTCTGTGGTTGTGTCAGGAAGGACATCAGGCATAAAAACAATAGCCAAGTCTTCGTATGACTTAGTTCGCTGTGGAGACCTGAGGAAGGGAGCAGCTGAAAAAACATATACACGGGGACATTTTGATTGCTACCATCAGGAATAAGTTTACGTCAAAGCACAAGGTTACTAAGTTCAAGTTCATTTATTGTCATTCGCATCACATGTGGTACATGAGGTGGAACAAAATTGTGTACTCAGGGTCCAAGCTATACCCCAAAATAGCAAAAATATAAAGTATAAAAGAAACAGTATAAGGATCTAAGATATACACTAAGATAAATGTTAAATGATGCACTAAAAGATCTAAGATATGTGCTATACACTAATAATGTAAAATAATGTGTTATATTAAACAGCAGCCTGAACATGAGTCTTTAGTGAGTAGATGAGTATGAATGAATACTGCAGCATGAGATGGTCAGCAGCATGAAATCAGCAGAATGGATAATCAGCAGCACATATCAACAATTCAAGTGGCATTACAGTGACTTTTTTTCACAGTGATTATCCTGGTTAGAGATTCATGAGTCTAACAGCTTCAGGGTAGAAGTTGTTCCTCAGTCTAGTGGTTCTACACGTAATGATCCTCAACCTCCTGCCTGAGGGGAGTGGGGCAAAAAGTGTGTGTGTTGGGTGAGTGGGGTCCTTCATGATGCAGGTGGCCCTCTTCCTGCATCTGGAGGTGTAGATGTCTGTGATGGTGGGGAGGCTGACTCCAACAGACTTCTGTGCAGCTTTCACCACTCTCTGCAAAGCTTTTCTTTCTGCAGCTGTGCAGCCTCCATGCTGATGTTGGAGCACAGGATGCTTTCCACTGCACACATGTAGAAGGAGGTGAGGACTGAGCTTCCCAGTCAAGCTTGCCTCAGCCGCCTGAGGAAGTAGAGTCTCTGATGTACTAAAATCAACTTGAATATTTTCATTGTTCTTTTAACCCAAATGGGCACATGCTAACAAAATGGCTCCCAACACAGTGATGGAGCCACCATGGCATTGTGTATTAGAACTCAGATTGTTTTGTATTTTATTCATTCATTCATTCAACCTTTATTTATACAGGTTAGTCTCATTGAGCCACGAGGACTCATTTACAAGAGAGACCTGTTTCAGACAGAACATACTGTATAATGTACATTCAACAATAACAGTAAATAATGACAACAATAAACTATAGTAAAATGCAGTTAAAATAAGAATAGTGTATAAAACAATAAATCAGGGTGCCATAAAACAGGGTGAAATACTAAAAACAAGAACATAAATGCCTCGATTTTTCCCTTGACATTATCAAATGTTTGAAACCCCTTAAAGAAATCAAGGTGGACAACTTTAGTTCTTGTTGCAAGGTGTTCCAGGTTTCAGGAGCAGTGTAGGAAAAGTTCTTTTTGCCAAATTCAGTCCGCACTGAGGGAACCATGCAGATAGCCTGAGAGCTCATGTTGTAACTGCACTGACGGCGTGACATGTGGGAGGAGATATAAGAAGGTAGCAGACCAAGGAGGGATGCATAGATGAAAATGAACCAGTGTGAGATCCTACATGTAGACAATGATGAGCAACTGACCAAGGAGTACAGAGTGCAGTGATGAGTATGGTAGTTACAACCAGTTATAAATCTTAGTGCATCATGGTAGAGAGCATCCAACATCTGCAAGGAGCTGGCAGGGGCATTTATGTAAATAATCTCACCATAGTAAATAGTTGGTAGGAAGGCAGCAGTTACAAGGCGTTTTCTGGCATTCAGAGTTAAGCAAGATCTATTTCTGAAAAAGAAACCCAGTTTTAATTTCAGTTTCTTTATCAAGTTTTTCACATGTGGTTAAAAAGAGAACTGTGCATCAACCAAAATTTCCAAGTATTTGTAAGGATCTACAAAATCAGTAGGAACACCATGCATGGATGAGATAGGAGGAAGAGTTGCTGGCACCGACGTTCTGTTGGAAAACATCCCTTTGGTTTTGTCAGCATTTAGCACCAGCTTGAGATGGAATACTGACTGAATGCTGTAAAATACAAACCTTAGAAGCTGGAAAACCTTGGCTACTGTGTTAGTTTGGCAACAGTGTCGTCGACATAGAGATGCAAGGATGTGTCAGGAATGTTTTGACTTGCATTATTTATATAAATTGTAAAAAGAGTGGGACCTAAAACTGAGCCTTGCGGCACACCATTGGTGACTGTTAAGTAGCTAGATGAAGTATGTCCGACCTGAGAGACAGTTTGAGAACAAGCAATCTGATTTATACATACATTACTGTACTTTCTTTTGGAAAACTACATTGTGTCTTTAGAAAAAGCATATGTGGGTGTGAGTGCCAAAAGAGGAGGTGTGGTATTGCATGAGGAAATCTGGAGTGGCAGAAATGTATGTTAGACTGGTACAGGACATGTATGAGGACAGCAGGACAGTGAGATGTGCTGTAGGAGTGACATATAACTTCAAGGTGGAGGTGGGAGTGCATCAAGGATCAGCTCTGAGCCCCTTCATGTTTGCTCTGGTGATAGACTGGCTAACAGATGAAGTCAGGCAAGAATCCCCATGGACTATGATGTTTGCAGATGACATTGTGATCTGTGGTGAGAACAGGGAACAGGTGGAAGAGAACTTGGAGAGGTATTTAGGTATGCACTTGAAAGAAGAGGAATGAAAGTCAGTTGTAGTAAGACAGAGTACATGTGTGTGAATGAGAGGGAGGCCGGTGGAACAGTGAGGCTACAAGGAGCAGAGGTCACAAAGGAGCAGGACTTCAAGTACTTGGGGTCAACTGTCCAGGAAAATGGGGAATGTGGTAAAGAGGTGAAAAAGAGAGTCCAGGCAGGATGGAGAAAAGTTTCAGGAGTGATTTGTGACAAAAAGGTGTCAGCAAAGGTCAAAGGAAAAGTTTACAAGACAGTTGTGAGACCTATATTGTATGGACTGGAGACAGTGGCATTGACAAAAAGACAGGAGAAAGAACTGGAAGTGGCAGAAATGAAGATGTTGGTTCTCCTTAGGAGTGACAAGGCTGGATAAGATTAGGAATGAGATCATCAGAGGCACAGCACAAGCTGAACAACTGGGAGATAAAGTTAGAGAGACCAGACTGAGATGGTTTGGACATGTCAAGAGGAGGGACCGTGGGTATATTGGTAGAAGGATGTTAGAAATGCATCTGCCAGGAAAAAAGACAAAGAGGAGATATATGGATCCAGTTAGAGAGGACATGGAGATAGATGGAGTGAGGACAGAGGATGCAAAGGACAAAGTGAGGTGGAGGAGGATGACTCGCTGTGGTGACATCTGAAGAGGGAAAAGCCGAAAGAAGAAGAAGACTGTACTTTATTTTGGCACATCTTACACTTTCACTCATCTTTAACTTCTTGGTATTAGTGTAGGCTCAAAATAAAGTAAGTACATAAATAAACGAACCAGAATCAAAGACTCAACTGCAGGCTATGCCCAAGAGCTCTCTGCTGCTTTGTAGTCGTCTCGTTGTCATGGCAACGGCACTCAAGAGCCAGCTTGGGGTTAGCCTTCCAGAAAGTTAGCTTGAGTTTGCTTCCAAGAAACCAACATGGAGATTCTTTCCATTTATAACAACTGCTTTATTTTAGTCGTTTTAATATATAGGTGACAAAACAGCATCGAGAAAGCACTCTTCCTCCAGCAGGAGCTAAAAAAAATAATAAAAATAGTTACGTGGAACTTCACTAATATAAACTTCTTTATTTTTCCTCCCGGCGCATCAACCTACTTCCGTTCGTCGTTTGGGCTGGTCGCTGTGATTGTCCGCCTCAGTAAAGTGTCCGACCATTGGCTTGTGTCGTGGAGACCCTCCCCTCAGACACCCACCTCCCTGCGGGCACGAGAGGCGGCGGTGAGCGGTCAGTCAGCCGGGCTGTCGACTCAGCTACTTGGCTAGCTGCTGCCTGGGAGGGACGAGCGCGGAGCAAAGGCGCTTTGGAGTTTAACTCGATAACTGTGGGGAAAAAACTGAATTTACCCGGCACGGAATACAAATAAACACTTCTTTAAGTGTTGACGGTGTCAAAATGCACCGAATAACGGGGAAAACGGGAGGGGACAGTTTAATTGAGATGAGCCCCACGGACTCTTTTAACGGTGAGTCAGACTTCTTTAAAGAGTAAAACTGTTTAAAATAAAACCTGCTTCAATGTTTCCTCACGAAAGTTCGTTTCTGCTAAAATTAAGTAAGTTTACAAAAGATTTACAGATATAACAGCAACACCCCAAATAGTATTATTATTAAAAATATATATTATTCAATTATCCCAGAGGGGGAAAATACATTTTAATCACTGTTGGGAATGGTTTAGTGTTTATCTGTCTGTGTTATCTTTACAGTAAAAATATCATTAAACATCCCCAGCATGTTTGTGCCATCTTAAAATCCCTAACCGGCTCATAGTTTGTCTTTTTCTGTCGTTGGAAGCAGCAGTGATTTACAGGCAGCAGGGTTTGAACATCTGGCCTGCCTGCTGGAAACACTCTGTCACCTCCAGGCAGCCACTTTACCACCGCAACAAACCCCAAATCCCTCTCTGATCCTTGCTGAACGGGGATTTTAAACAAACATTCACACAACTGGTTGTGCCTTGGCCATTTATGGTTAAGAAATGTGTTGCTGGATGAGAGATGACTCACTCCAGATGCTCTGTAGGAACTGAAAGTAGAATGAATCAGGGTTAAAAGTGTAGTTTCATCTTTACTTTGTACAGTATTCTGGAAGAGACTTGAAAGTTTGAGGGATTTCTTCAAGATTAGGAAATGCACATGTGTCTCGAGGGTTTATGGTGCTGTAAGATAACAATGGAGGCCGTACTTCACAGCTTCACCACATCACGGTAAACCACAACACACAAAATGTTTTTATTTTTAATAAAACGTCTCTTTGTAGACACACTGAGGCAAATCTTTGGCATAGACAAGCGTTATTACTTGTGTTTACATTAGTGATCACAATTATTCCAGCATTGCTTCATTGGTGTGCGTGTGTGTGTGTGTGTGAAACGGTGGCCATTACCTTCCTGCTTTAGGAATCAGTCCAACCCAAACTAAAGAAGCTGAACTTGTTAATATTATTTCCATTATTGCAGATTCACTTCACAGTGGCTCTCTTACAGTTTGGGGTTTTGTCATGAATAAAAAACGAGACGGACCATGTGTTGCAGCTTACCCACAACGATCAGCTGCTCGCTCTTTAACAAAGCTTTTCTTGTGGAGTCTTCTTAGTTGGGGAAAAGTCTTGGCACAACTGTCTGACTTGTACTGCGTCCAGTGAAGCACCCAACTGTGACAAAATATGCTCAGCTGTTTGAAAGTCATTCTCTCACACTGTCAGAGTATGCTCAGAGTCAAAGGCATGGTTGTGTCTATTAAAACGGAACAAAATAAAACTAGAAGTTGTAATAAAATATTGTGAAAGTTGAGCATACTCACAGGGCTCCATGTTTTTCATCCATATCTGAAGTGAAGGTTATTGTGTAGTTATTGAGGATTGTTTAAGGACTGATTATTTACAACTATGACAAGTTACTGCAGTAAGTCCTTGTGCGTGAATGGCTCTGGTCACCAAAGACTAGATGTTTTTCTGCGTCATCACCTACTCCTTGGAACTGGGAAATCCTTTTCTTTAGTTGTGTGTGACCAAGCGCTGTAACTTCAGCATTTATAACCACCACTGATGCTACAAAGAAAATATGGTGGTGTTTTTAATTTTTTTTTTGCTTTAATGTGTCATTTTCCACACGTCAGTGTAGATGTTAAACATGTTGAAAGGGGAGCAGTTAGTAACCTTTACTCAAATGCAAAGCGTTGTGCAACCACTAGTGGCTATAAAGAGGGATTTAAGGGAACAAACGAACTCGCCAGGGGCCACCCTAGCCCTGTGTTTAAATCATAGACTGTATGAATCTAGACCTCGGACTGGAACCTTGAAGTTGAAGCCGGCCTGTAATCTGATAGGTTTAGCTTTAGTTAGTTATTTCATGCTTAAAAGGACGGTCATGTAACACTTTGTGTGTGGGGACCGTAGGCAGGATTTAAAGCCCCACATCTCTAGTGCGCAGTTACTGGTTCCAGTAATACAATATGGTAACTCCCTTAAACCAGGTTCTGCTGGCTTCACCGTCCAACAATAGAAGGCGGGGACACATGGTCTGTAATATATACAGTTTATGGTCTATTCACCACTGGGTACAGCAAATTAAAAGGTTTACAGAAGTCCACCCTAAACCTCACACATTCAACTTGATGACCAGTGAAACTTCGCTTTGTTCTTCGTGAACACGTTTTCTGACTTTTTCATTTTCACACTTAACAATGAGGTACACAAAATTTGATTAAGCACTAGAGAACGTCTCAGGAACGAATCAGGAACAAATGAGGAGTTAATAGGTAGTTAACCAATACTTCCTGGGGAACACATCCAAGCCTTATTAGGGGACTACTGGTTAGTTACCTTGCAAACAAAGAGGAACTAATCAAGAACTAATGGGTAATAAAACCAGTAATCACTAGGAAACAGGTTTTTGACTATTACGAGCTGTGACCTCACTGGTGCTGGGTTTATTCAGAACCCACATGGAGAATTTCTCCTCTGTTTCTGTGGTAACAAACCAGTAGTCCCTGAATAAGCTTGGCTGTGTGCTCCCCAGTAAGTACTGGTTAACTACCTATTAGCTCCTGATTTGTCCC